TTTACATTTACATTTAGTCATTTAGCAGATGCTTTTATCCAAAGCGACTTACAAATGAGGACAATAAAGGAGTCAAAACTAACAAAAGAGCAACAATATATAAGTGCAAATGACAAGTCTCGGTCAGCCTAACACAGTACATGTAGCAAGGTGTATATATATATTATACTCACATATACACACACACACAAAGAAAAACAACTAGATAGAATAGAAAAAATAGAAAGCTAGTGTTTGTTTGTTTGTTGTTGTGTTTTTTTTTTTTAAATAAAAAAAGATAAATATAGATAAAGTAGAATTAAAATAGAATAGAAAGTGCTAGAGTTAGAGGGTCAAATAAAGGTGGAACAGATGTGTTTTTAGACGTTTCTTGAAGATGGTTAAGGACTCAGCATATATATATACGGGTGTGTGTAAATACACACATTTTTAATTAATCCTGTGATGCAAAGCTTTTTTTCAGCATCATTGCTTTTTTTCAGTGTCACATGATCCTTCAGAATTTTAATAAGCCGATTTGCTGCTTGAGAAACATTTCTTATTATTATCGATGTTGAAAATAGCTTAATATTTTTGTAGAAATGTGAGGTTTTTTTCAAGATTCTTTGATGAATAGAACGTTCAAGAGAACAACATTTATATGAAATAGAAATCTCTTGTATTTTTTTGAACTTTTGCACTGTCACGATTCAGTGCATCTTGCTAACTAAAAGTATTAATTTCTTTAAAAAAAAGTTATTGACCTCAAAATATATATATATATTAAAATATTTAAAAAATCTATTTTAATTAATTTAGATTAATTATGATCAAAGTTAAAGATTTTGGAATAAACTGCACTGATGGATCATGTAAAATAAGACCAGGAACAAGAAAGGAATTAAGAAAGTAAGTACAGTCATGTCACTATGCTGAAGGGTCATGCAGTTTTGTACGTTCACAGACCTGCTGTAGACTGTGGAGTTTTTTGGCTCTTTTAACCAGAGTGCCTTTGCCGCAGGACAGCTGTGATGCCAAGTATGAGAAGATTCTGGAGCGCACTTTCCCACTAAGCTGGTAAGAGTTCACCTCCACACTGAACATAGAAAAAGAGAGAATCAATACAAGATAGTACATTGGCTTAAAATACAAAGTATGCTTTGCAAAATGTTACCTGTTATATAATAAATGTAATGTAACTTACTCTAGTAGAACACTGTTGAGTTCTGAAGACAAAATCTCCATCTTGTTTTGTCCTTCAATTTCCTTAACAGCCTAAAGAACAAAATAAGTAATGCATGAGAATAAATTGCATATTCCTGCAAACTACTCTAAAGTTGCAAGAGCAAATAATACCTGGGAAAGTTCCTTAATAAGTTGCTCTAATGTAGGTGGCAGGCCATCGGGAAGTAATGAAGTGGGTTTCTCAGTGACGGACACTACCAGAGCCTCTCCGTTGTCTTCCAGGCTTGGAGAGCAGACGTTCTGCGGCTCCCCTAAGAGTCTATCTAAGTCAAAGTCTTGCTCTGCTGCTTTGACCGCCTGAAGGAGGTCATCTGCACTGGCAGAACCAATGAGTGTGAGAAGAGGGTCAGCTGATATGGGCGGTTCTTGAACCTCAGCTTGCACGGTGCCATTGAGAGCATGCCAATCTCTCTCTCTAGCGTTGAACATCTGCAGCTGCTGAAGCTTTTCCTTGTGGAACTTCTTCAGCATCTTATCGATACTTAGCGGCTTCTTGTTTTTCTTCTTCTTTGCAGATGATTTGTCTGGCGGGGTGCTGAGAAGAAGGAGAAAGCAAACAATGAAGGCATTTAAGAAAGAATCAATGAAAACTACGATTATTTCTAAAGGGTGTTGTGAAAAATTTACGTTTTCTTAAGAGTAGTAAACATTGTAATCTATCCAGCAGCAAAAACCTTTTTCTGGCTTCCTCCTCTTCCTTCCTAGTAAGCATGTCTTCCTCTTTCTTTTTCTTCCCAATCTTCTTGTCTTTTCCTTGCTTAAGCTTTCGTTTCTGAGAAAGGAATCAGACCAAATAAGATATAATAATGTATGAAAGTGAAAAAAGTGAAAGTGACATGACATGTGGCCAAGTATGGTGACCCATACTCAGAATTAGTGCTCTGCATTTAACCCATCCAAAGTGCACACACACAGCAGTGAACACACACCCGGAGCAGTGAGCAGCCATTTATGCTGCGGCGCCCGGGGAGCAGTTGGGGGTTCGGTGCCTTGCTCAAGGGCACCTCAGTCATGGTATTGAAGGTGGGAGAGCGCTATACATTCACTCCCCCCACCAACAATCCCTGCCGGTATGAGACTCGAACCCACAACCTTCGGGTTACGAGTCCGACTCTCTAACCATTAGGCCACGACTTCCCCAATTTGTTCATTGGTGACAAATGAACGCGTTCATGTCTTAAACAATCTTTTGCATACAGCTGAAAAAAAAACAAATCAGTACACAACAAACTGGCACTGCCATTTTTGCAAGAAAGGACACACCTTAGATTTAAAACCGCTGTCCTCACAATCATTCTCGTTCTCCTCTCCTTCATCAAAGGCTTGGCGGAACTGCAGAGTTCCAGAGTTGATGTAGAAGCCTCCGTATCTGGTGGTGAGACAAGCTGGGACAAGCTCATCATACTGCGGCATGCAGAGATAAAGAAGACTTGAGCAAAACATTCATGTGTTCTATAAAGGGAATAATTTTATATAGGTGGTGTTATCATCTGGCCTGAACTTACAGCCTCAGAGTTGTCAATGAATGAATCAGATTCATCGTAACCAAAGCCCATATCCACCAGATCCTGTAACCGGTCTTTTTTTCTTTTGCCAGCTCCACCCTAAACAAGAAAATGGTGGATATTAATGTATAGCTTTAAACTTGATTAAAATGTGTATTTCTAAATTTGACATATATGCTTAATCCTATTGAATCACACCATATGCACATACAAGTGCAGTGAGCTTTGAAATGTACTTCGTTTCCGCTCTCCACAGCACTAACACGATGAAGCTAGAAATATAATCTTGGCAGAGTTCATACTCACGTATTTTGCGTCAAACATTTTTGCAAGCGCCTCCAGTTCATCTCTCTCCTTGTCCTCCACCACTTCATCTAATGTTTGTGGTTTCTTTTTCTCAGCAGTTTCCTTAAAATGAGAAAACGAGACTGATTTCCCTAAATCCACCAGAACTGGTTTAATCCTCAAGGACTTGTCAGGCAAATTGACTAAAAACTTGAAAAAGCTATTAAAAAGCAATTTAACTGAATACTGGTAAAATACACATATCAGTTGCTGAATTCACAGTTAGATAACGATATATAGGCCTATATATTAAAAATGTAATTTAATTCTAAATGTAAACAACAAGGTAGATGCTTACTTTGACACCACTGCTAACACTTCTGGATCAAAAGAAATTTTCCAAGTAAGTATTTAACTTGTGACTATTTCCCCACAAAATTTTAAAATGTTTTGATTGAAAATGATTAAATACAAACTCAGAGCATTTATATCTTGCAGTATTTTTGTTCTTGCATAATCGCAAACAGTTTTGAAATGTTGCTTTCCATAACAAGTGAAATTCAGAAAATACATCAGTGTCAATGCTTGTTTACTTTTGCGCGGATCAAATCCGGGTAGCTAAACTCCGGGCAGCGTTGTTCATTCGACTCGAAGAGATTTAATTCCACTCTTGTTGCAGGATGCGGAGGTGGTGGCGATCCAGCCTCTGGCGCCGGTGCAGGTGCAGGTAAACCCTGGTTGACAGGCTGGTCGCTGGCATTGGGGACGGTGGGAAGAGGAAAGCGTGCATTGCTTGAGAGTGCGGTGAAATGAATTCTTCTTAGAGCAGCCATTGCTCAGACCGACAGCAACACTCCACGAATCTTCCCGAACAGGTGCGCGTTTGGTTGATTAATTATGAACCTGTGAAGCCAATTGAAGCAAGTGTTACTTTCCGTCCTTAAAAGGGACGTGAGCGCACGCGGCGTTTACCCCATGCTCCTGGAGGCCAGCACTAGACAAATTGCACGTTTCAACTGACAAAACCTTTTCAGGTCTGGAGTAACGACGAAGGGAAGTAAATAACGTTTTAGTTGCCGTTAGGTCTATGTTTTGTAGAATAGGCTATTTTTCTTTTTTAGGCGACGCAAAACATCAATAACGTGTTTTGAAAACGAAACTTGACCAAACGCACCTTGGATTTTGTAATGATTCAAAAACATAGTGAAAATACAAAAACAAACAACCACTTTACACTACATTTGTCGGTTTTTATTTTATTTATTAAAAAAAAATTATAATGTGCCAACATCAACTACCAAGAATGTAACATACGTCATAAATTGTTTAAAACGGAAGAAAGCCACTTTTGTGTTTTGTTTTGTTTTTTACCTCACGAGAAACTATCAACCGCTTCTACAAATTAAATCGCATATGAAAGTAGGCTAGATGTTAGCCCGCAATACAGGTACGAAATCTTTAAAAAACCGCTCGTATTACTAATATGTTTTTTGGTAAGTATAACTTTAAAACTTGTGACCTATTATTCTATACTTCTCCCCCTGTTTATTTGGTAAACTCTTTACTTTGAAAGCTGTAGGCCTGTGGCAAAGCATTTCATAACGACGTACTATATAATACCAGATTAAATGTGATGTTGAGGGTTTTTTTAAACGCAACTGCGGCGTAGTGGAAATATACGTTATACCCTTAGCACAAAATATTTACGACTTAATACATTTTAGAGCGTAGTTATGCTTGCTGGGGCGCTAACGGGTAGCTATATCCGTGTGTTTTACAAAAGGTCTTCTGGAACCGGTTTGGGAAACTACTGATAGGCACTGCATCTGTAGAAAAAGCTAGAAATAAAACATACCACGGATGTTTATCCATGTCATGTAATGGTGACTCGTTGATGTGCTGTCTTGTGTGGCATGTTCTGATGAAGTCTCCAACATCCAGTCTCTTCGAAGGCGTTCGTTTCATTCTATCTCCGCGGCCCTCGGTGAATCGCGCAGCCGTTCTCACGCCGATAGTCGAATACTCTCCATAAAGCATTCGCTTGAGTTATCATGGCAATGGAGAATTGTCGTTTTCAGAATGCAAAGCGCAAATAGGAGACCAATATGGATTGGTCGATGGTTCACCTTGGCGATCACAAGCCTTTGTGTTCGATGTAGTATTGACGATCAGTTATATTATATTATAATATAAAACATTTTTACTAGAGACATTTCATCACTGATATGGACACCCACAACTATTTCCAAAATCACCGTTCACTGCTCTCATTGGACGGACCACTGCCTAGTCAGTCTAGTCGTCATCATCCTGCGCCTGAATTTTTCATTAGGAAAGGAACATTATTGTACTGTTACATTAATCATGTTGTCTCACGTTTTTACTGTTAAACTGATGTATACTAACAGGCGAGTTTGGAGAACAATAGCATAGTAATAGACTGTTACGGCTGAGTTTATGAAATCCTCCTTTTCTCAATTGCCATTTCTCCATTATAAATCTCGTAACCAACACGGCATCATGTAATGCTCTTAACCTAACATTTAAGCCTAATTGTACGCTACTTGTATTTATATAATGGCTGCAGTGCTATCGTGCATAAGCAACACAGTGGCGCTGTCCATGGTACTGAATGGATATTAAAGGGGTCATATGATGTGATTTCAAGTTTTCCTTTCTCTTTGGAGTGTTACAAGCTGATTGTGCATAGATAAGATCCCTGAAGTTGCAAAGACTAAAGTCTCGAAACCAAAGAGATATTCTTTATCAAAGTTAAGACTCTGCCACGCCCCCCTAAAACGGCTGGTTCTAACACGCCCCCACATATCTACCTCACTATGTGGAAATATTTGCATAATGCGCCCAAATGTGCACGCAAAGAAAGAAGGCGTGGTTTCAGTAACCGCAGTTAGTGTTGATGCAGCATGTCAGGGAGACACTGTGTGTTTCTAGGCGAAAGCAAAAGCACTTTATTTGGCCTTCCAGAAGTAGATGCATTTAGGAATCTTTAAGATGACTTACAACAGAACAGCAATGCATTTTATGGATGACCGTTTCGTGAACCTAGGAGAGGAGGTAATTCTGACTTTGCTATGACAATCTGGCGCTTCTGAATCAGTGACTAAGTATGTTTTGTTCCTAGTTTAAGTATTTGCTATTGACTGTTCAAATGTGGAGTTTTGCGCATCGTGTGTGTGTGTGTGTGTGTGTAAGAGAGAGAGAGAGAGACAGCGTGGAGTCAGCTGTATTAACCGCAGCTTGTGTACTGCATCATTACTGTGTCTGTTCCCCTTTCGGGCTTGAACTGATGGTAAAACTAATGACATTAGTTACTGTCTTTACATTTATTTTGAAAGATGAAGCTCGTGATTATGGTAAGGGGCGTTACATTTCCGACGAGTGCTTGCGGTGTTCGGCCAATCACAATGCACTGGGTCAGCTGGCCAATCAGAGCAGACTGCGCTTGTCAGAAGGAGGGACTTTGTAGAAAACGAAGCGTTCGAGAAAGGCGGGGCATAGAGGACCTACAATAATGTACAGTATTTGAAAAATAATGTGTTTTTTGAACATTAAAGCATGTCAACATATTCTGTTACACCAAATACACAAAATAATGATCTTTAAAAAAGCATCATATGACCCCTTTAACAGTTTATGTAGGCCACTGAAGTTAAGATATTCACCACTAAATACTTACAGATAAGACTGCTAAGTACATGCACTGCAATATAAACTGTATTTATGTGTAGTGTTTGAAGTGGTTATGGTCTTAAGATGCTGTTTCACTCAAAGAGAAGTAGCTGTCTCTCTATCTTTAAATATTCTAATTTTACGATTTGAAGAATATGAAACGAATTGTTGAATAAAGTCGATCTTTTTTTTAATCTTTTGCGCACAAAGTATACTCGTAGCTTCGTATAATTGCGGATGAACCACTGATGTCACATGGATTATTTTACAGATCTCCTTGCTACGTTTCTGGACTTGAGAACATTTCAGTTGCGTTGTTGTCTATGCAGGGTCAGACAAGCTCTCAGATTCCATCAAAAATATCTTAATTTGTGTTCCGAAAGATGAACGAAGGTCTTACGGGTTTGAAACGACATGAGGGTGAGTAATTAATGACAGAATTTTCATTTTTGGGTGAACTAACCCTTTAATTAAGAAAACGCTTTTAGTTTCAAGCCTCTGCTGTTTGGTTGTGAAGGTGACCAGTAGATGGCAGCAGATTTCTTAAAACCGAATGGAATTGGTTGTTCAACTGCTAATTTGGGCTGTGGGTGTCAGAATACATACAGATAAAGTCTGTGAAAATGACTTGATCATTACCAGGTAAAATTGAGTACTTTTAAATGGTTGTAATTGTTATTTTTTTTAGGATAATTCAAAAACAGTGACTTTTAAAGATAAACTGACATATTGACAGGTTCTGAATTCCAAATAATAAAGATCATCTGAACCTGAGGTCATGCTTTGCAACAGCTAATGACAGAAATGTGTGGAGACACTTCCTGCATCTTAATAAGGATTTCTGTGGAAGTGTTTTGCTTAATGCAATAGTGCAATAGATCTCAATTCTGGTCCAGGACTGCATATTTTGCACTTCTCAAACCCTTTTTGTTGAGGGGAGAAACTTTTGTTGTTGTTGCACACCTAATATACTATGATATGAATGATAGACAAGATCGGTTTAAAGCGTCAAGTCTTTTCACGCAGATTGAACATGCATCAGGAAACACTGGCAATAAAGGCAGGCCATTTTATTGACTTTATAACATTGTTGTTCTGTCTGCTTTTCGTTTCCTCCAGTGGAGATTTCTAAGCCTTCTCTTTAGCTACATTAAGATTCACCTCACCTTCTTCTCTACGGGCGCTCACCGTGGAACGAGCCTCTTATGAATCGAATTTGACAGTCACAAAGGCGTCATAATTGCAGTCTTGTCTCATTCCATTCCATGTTAACATATCACAAACTTATTCAAACGTAATTCGGGACGCATATGCTTTCGCTATCTCTCTCTCTCTCTAGCAATTATAAATGAATTTCACGGTGTAGGCTTTTAATGCTAATAAGATCCCCCTCCCTGCTGGCTTGCGAACGAACAGGCCAGTCTCTCTGACAAACAGGGCGCGAAAACCCGTGGTGTGCGAGAGAGACATGAATGGCCTCAGAGAGAGACAGGGAGAGAGAGAGAGGACACAGGATCAGATTGCATCTCTTTTGTTTAACCAGACTCCTGTTTCAATGAGCTAATGGAGTGGAAGAGATTGGCGCCCCGTGGCTTGAGAAGGCCGACAGAAGCGCCGAATTAAAAAAGGTGTCAATAAATGTGTGAAAGACAATGAGCTAAAATACACACGCTTTATAGGGAGGACAAAGAGGGACAGATGGAAAGTGAGGAGGGGGTTCCGACCAGTGACAGGACCCCTCAGCGTTTCATCAGAGCGCAGAGAGAGTTACAATATTGTCCCGGGATGATTTAAGGCGCTCTGGGACTCAGGTCCCCATAGTGAATAATTTAGTCCTTTTATTAACTTGAGCAAACATGAGCTGTTTTTAATTAACCAGTTAGATCGGAGCACGACGGCCAAATGCATCCACCAGTGGGTGGTTCAAGAAAAAGCTTAATGTAAAACAAGTTTGACTTTCGGAAAAGAATTTGCTTCAACAAGTTTTGGGCAAGATACTTAGTCCCACAGCTGCTAATTGTGTTCTTATGCCACGTTTTAGCAAGATAAATGTGTGCCATATTATCATATGGTATCATTGCTATAAAGTCTATCAACGATATCATCATAATTTACTGTATAGGCCGATCTAAAGTTTAGGGAGGATGACTCGGATCAACTCTAGGAAGCGCTGTGACTACCATGAGAGTCCTCTGCAAGTATAGCCTAATTAAGCAAAAATGTATGTAGGCCCTATGTATTTAATTGATAGGCTGATCTAATTATTCTGTCGCACAATTTACGCCTCCTTTAATTTGCTTAACTGTGTACAACCTCACTGAGAACCATCTTTTTGTACTGAGCAAACTTTGTTGGAGAACAAATTATTGAAAAATAAAGTTTTTTGTACAATATTTATATAAAGTTTACTGAAAATATGCTTTTGCCCAGCGAGGCTGAGCGAGATTTGGTACACTAAAAAAAAGATTTTTAGAAAGAAAAAATCGTTCTTCTTCAACATTTCACGTTTAATTAAATGTTACCTGCCGTTTCTTTGTGATTATTTGTGAAATTTACTGGCAACTTTTCCCACTGTAGCCTATATATTATAAAGTTTGGGCATAATAAATCTTTAAAAAGTTTAGGTCTGAGAACCTCTTGTAATGAGCTGATGCTATGATATAAATAAGGTGTCTTAAATAAGGAAGAACCTCAAATGTTCAGTTCTGGGGTAGGCTACTCGTGGATTAGAAGACTTCTGGACGACAAGGGGAGGCCAACGAAGGCAATTCATTAAGCAGCAGAGTTAACCTGCCTCGCCTTAATTAAAACATCTTCGCTAGTTTACAGTGTGGATACTGGGGCGTCTCTGGGGTTTTGGGTTTCCTGCGCGCAGCAGATGGTCGCGCCGGCCGAAAATAATAGCTGACGCTCCTCCTCCCATGCAACCGTGAGCCCGCGAGCCACCGGGGGATTAGAGCAACGTGGATAACAAAGACATATTAACTATTCAGGGCCCTCACGAAAGACCGCGGTCAGTGCTCATCAAGACCCTGATTGATATCCAGGCGATGACACGAGTCACGTGACATGTAGGAGATTTGTTTATTTAGAGAGCGCGAGAGATGGGTGATCCCGAGTTGTCTAAGATCTGTTTGGAATAGTCTACATCGTTATGTCTCCCAGCAATTATTGTCACCATCAATAAGCCTTACTGACACATTAAAACATTTTAAAGGGGTGATGCTTTTTTAAAGATAATTATTTGGTGTAACAGAATATGTTGACATGCTTTAATGTTCAAAAACACATTATTTTTCAAAAACTGTACATTATTGTAGGTCCTCTATGCCCCGCCTCTCTCAAACGCTTCGTTTCTACAAAGTCCCTCCTTCTGACAAGCGCAGTCTGCTCTGATTGGCCAGCTGACCCAGTGCATTGTGATTGGCCGAACACCGCAAGCACTCGTCGGAAATGTAACGCCCCTTACCATAATCTCGAGCTTCATCTTTCAAAATAAATGTAAAGACAGAGCCCGAAAGGGGAACAGAGTCTCGTGACAGACA